AAAAAACAAACCAACCTTGCGGTATGTTTTGATGGACAAACCGTAGCTCAGACTTGATTATTCAGGGAATTAACTCTTTGGTATAGCTGTCTAATGGCTCTCTTCTCCTATGCTTGCACAGGCTGGCTCAGTTAGAATTTGGTCCCATGCTGGATTCTTGATGCTTACTCAGGTCCTGTTCTAGATGTGCAGCCTATTGCAGGTGTAACTTCAAGGGAGAGCAATTCAAATATCTGTCCTGTATTTGATCATATAAATTGCAGTTGTGATACAAACTGGACCGGTTCTACATGCAAAGTATATTAATGGTATCTTCTGTATGTTGTATTTGTCCAAATATTGGATGTATATGTAAAGTATGTGTGGTATATAAAGTAATTACCCTGACTGACACTAAATATATATCAAAATGTATTTAAAGTATACATTAAACATAATATATTGAGAATTTATCTTGTTTCCCAAAAGGAAGGATATGAGGAATGTTCTTCACTCTTTATTAAGGATTAATTTTTAAAGGCACTTGCATACTAATGAGATAATGCAGTAAGTGTAATCACACAGAACTGTCCTACATTAATACCATTTGCAAGAAAGAATTATATCAACTGATACTTAAAAAAGGTCAGTTGTGATCATCCTTAGAACTCCCCAGTCCCTCAATATCAAAACAAATGTTTGCCTGGGCTTCAGCTGTGTAAACTCTAAATCTGCTTCTCCTTTGAGGAATCTGTATAGTACACGGTGCGTATATATATTACTCCCTGGGCTTATTTTGTGTGGAATAGTGGTTAAGTACTGGAACAGCATGGTGCTTCCTTTACATTTCTGATGTTAATACCTTCCTTGCAGAGCTAGTGTGAGGGCCTGACACCAGCTACTTGCCTAGGTAAGAATGAATGCTCAGGTTATTTTGCTTCGCAACTTTAAAATAGGCCTCCAGATAGCTTTTGTTCTTGCTGCACTAACCTCCACAATGAATATTTTTAGCTTTTGTGTTTAAAAAATAACTCAAGTAATCAGATATGCAAATTGCGTGTTCCGTTATTCAACAGACGTTCTATTGGTAATTGAAGGAGAGTCTGTGTGTTAATTTCTCTCTCATTGTTCAGTTTGAACAAGTCTGGCAGTGTATATTAGTTCCATTTCCTCGTACTTAAACACTTGAAACATGTAAATGTATCATCTTGTTCATACAGCAATAATTGTGCAGTTCATAATATCTTTCAGTGTTACCAGGATATGAGCTAAAAAAACGCTTACAAAAGGTTAGTTATAAATTAATGTCAGCATTCATCTGTAACTCTGGAAGTGTGCAAGAGGCATTAGTCATATCTCTACCCTCTATGTCTCCTTTGTAAGCCTCAAAAGGCTTCTAGCTGAAATGCCTGTGTCATGTAGAATTTGTTCTTGACACTAGTTAATGTAGAATTGGACATAGTGGGTTTATTGCAGTTAGGGAAGACTTCAGATACAATATGTTCTTTGATTTATTTTTGAGACTTGTACTTATCAAATTCTATAGAGATTCAGGAAAATGTTAAGTAAAGGAGTAAATATCAGTGTCATAACATATACTAAAATTGAACCATGTAACAGCTGCACATTATCCCTGTTGAGAACTACACCTATACAATGGCACCATTACCTCTATTCATTCTGTCTTTCCCCAAGTATTGTGGAACTGTATTGGTGAAAGCATTTATTATGCTTAAAGAGTCTCCATATAAATTTTGTTGGAGTTGTCAATACTATACTTGAATTTACATTAAACTTACAAACCTGTTTTTCCTCTGGCTTTTCTCATTGTTTCTGTGGTCTGTTCTGTGTTTACATGTAATGTTACAACAACATGAAATATTGCATCTAAAGCGGTGAAATACATATGCAGTTATATTGCTAATTCTATTTTTTAGAACTAATATTCTCTCAATCTTATTCTCCATTTTCAATACCTAGATCCAGCAATGAGTGGGTTGTAGAAGCCTATGACCTGGGTAGCATTTTCACATTCTTGCATTTTCAAACAAAGTATCTTGCTCAGCATGGCTAAGCAGGTTCCTGCCCCTTTTTGTTCAGATAAATTAGACTAGTTTGTGAAAGATTTCACTTGACTTTTCTATCTCTGAGAGCATATATTTGGTATAAACTTGTTTGAAAGAAGGGTAGAGTGAAAGTGTTACAATGTTGGTCAGTAGTTACTCTTGCAGAACTAACCAGTGTGGTTAAATTGCATCACTGCCTACTCTTTCTTCATCAGAGCTGAAGCTACTTCCTTTAAGGAACATGTTATTGTGCCACGGTATTTCACAATGCCAGCATGTGCTGAAGAGTTATTTCCTCTTACTACTTTTAAAACGTGAAAGGAATGAGAAAAGTGGCCAGGTAACTCTCTGGCTGTAGCAGAACGTAGGCATGCTTTCTTAATTATGTGTCACTAGAGCACTTTGTATCCTTGATTTCTAGTACATTAACTTCGCTCTGTCTTCTCTGAATTTTCAAGCCATACAGAAGTAACAATAGAATGAGAAGAAGCACAACTCTCTCCACTGTCAGTTTCCCTTTTTCTATCTTTCTAACAAACTAGTAGGTCCTAGATAACAAGGGTGAAGCCCTCTTTGCTCCCCTGCACAATCAAACATTGAGAAGCAATGAGGGAGGCAGGCCAGGTGCTTCAAAAGGAATGAAAAAGCCAATGACCAGCCATCTTGGACTTGCTCCTGCAGTAAGACTTAGCCTTATCCCAAACTTGTTATGAAAATTCAAGACAGCCTTCTCAGGGTTGTTAGGAGTACAAGGAAACTGCTGCATTACTCTTCTAGATCTCTGGGTAAACTGGTGGTTGTATGACGTACAAAAGTCTTACTTGTGTAAGATCTGCTTTAAAGAGGGCCTCTATATGGCCATGATGAAGCCCATAGCATTTATTATAATAGAGGTTGGGCTTGATGTGGCCACATTTCTGAGCTCTAGCTATCCCTACAGGGATACACAATACCTAGTATCAGTCATCTTATAAAACTGACATCCAATAGGAAAAGCTGTATACCTAGGGGTAGGCAACCTATGCCACGTGTGCCAAAGGCGGCACGCGAGCTGATTTCCAGTGGCACTCACACTGCCCAGGTCCTGGCCACCGGTCCGGGAGGCTCTGCATTTTAATTTAATTTTAAATGAAGCTTCTTAAACATTTTAAAAACCTTATTTACTTTACATACAACAATAGTTTAGTTATATATTATAGACTTATAGAAAGAGACCTTCTAAAAATGTTACAATGTATGACTGGCACGCGAAACCTTAAATTAGAGTGAATAAATGAAGACTCGGCACAGCACTTCTGAAAGGTTGCCTACCCCTGTACTAGAACATACGGATCCTGTCGTCTTTGGCTGCCAGGGAGGCTGATTGGTAGTGGTGGTAGCTTTGCAATGCAGGTACCTCTTCGCTGGGAACTGGACTAAGCTCATTAAAGTAGCTGAGATACATAGCTGGAGCCTGGGGCAAATCTGTACTGCGATGACCTGTGCTGCATCAGTCTCTGGGTGAATAAAAATCAATGTAAATAATGATTTTTGAAATAATTTTTTAAAAATCTATTTAAAATTAAATTTGAAATTAACCTATGTTGAGGCCTAAACTTACTATAGTCTGTTAAAACTATTTAAATTAAATACACAAATAATATTTAGCTGTACTTATTTGCTGCCAATTTTAAAGAGTCAAATCACTGAACTGCTGGAAGTCACTGGCTAAGCATCTGGAACCAGAGTTCGTTGACGTGCTAAATCAACTTCTGACACCCATAGCCTCTTCTGCAGGTGCAGAGAGAATGTTTTCTTCATTTCAATTTATTCAACTAGTTCAGGTCAATGACTTAGATCATTCAAAGTTATAAACCAATTGGCAGTTTAAAAAGCTTGTTTTTCTCTTCCAATCTATGGGGAAAAAACTAAATATGAGAGGATGAGATCTGCTAGATCTAAAATCTTGAAGGATGTGATGACCAGAAACCATCAGTTCAATTCACTAATTACAGATACTTCTTTTGCACTTAAAACTGATTTATTAAATAATGTTTTGATAAACATTCTTCTTCTGTATCCAGCACATTTAAGGTAGTTTTATTAATTTTTTTTTAAAAATGCTGTTTTGTCCTTTTAAATTGAATTTGAATATTCATACAAACCACTAGAAAGAAATTATTCATAATCTAACTTCTTAAATGTAAAAATTAAGAATCTGAATAAATGTACCTTAAGCTGTATAATATCTTAAAGGTGGATAGATCTATTGTATTCTTTTGGTTAGCAAAAAGAAGCACCAGTTTGGTGTAAAGGCTATATTTAGTTGCAAATCAACTTGTTTCAAGGATTAACAACCAATGAGAATCAACCTTTCCTTAGGAAAAGAACTAAAAAGTACAAATGCAAAACATGCTTAAAATAGCTTTGATTTAAATCATGCTTAAAATAGCTTTGATTTAAATCAAAACATCCTGATCAGACCTAGAGATAAACAGTTTGACTTCAGCCTCCCAGAGCTATCTGACCAGCATTACATTCACTTTGAAATGTAAAAGTAATTAGATAACAAGGGCAAATGGCTGCTCTCCCCTATTCATTTTCATTTTCCCCTAATAAATAAGACTTGGCAGTTGCCATAAGTGTGGCTGGATAACACAGAAGGCCCTGCACAAAGCCCGTGATTGTGTTCCAACTGAATACCTTCAGCTGACTCACAAAGGGAGGCAGGATGAGCATCTTTACACCAATGACAGTATCTCTCCACAGTATCTGTTTTTCCCCCATTTACTGGATCTAAAGTTTCAGCCTCCACGTGGGTTTCTCTGAGCTGAGAGGCTGGGGTAGGGATTCTATTTGGCTGTGATGGACACATTCTTCATTTCCAGCTGCATTCAGAGGGTTCTGATCATGCACAATCTGTACATTATCAGGAGACGGAGCCGCAGGAGCAAGGGCTGCGTCTAGACTGGAAGGATGGAGGCGGAAAGGAGCAGTGCTGGCAACGCCACCTCTGCAGTAAGTATCCCTTCTGTCAGGGCACAGCCTGCAGCACCCAGACCAGGGACCCCAGTACCAGTTGCCTCCCCACAGTCCTTAGTTCTGTGTTTTCACAGGTTGTTGGAATGGGGGTTACCAGACTTTCCAAGGTGCTGAGCACCTGCCGCTCTCACAGACTAACGTGATATTTGTGAGTGCTCAGCATTTCCAAAATGCCTATCTCACTGACTCAACTAGTTGGACTAAAATCTTAGCTCCTGTAAACCTGTTGGAATTATATCATCTGCGGGTTTGTTGCAGATGCCCCTATGTACATAGCATCTGAAGAAGTGAGGTTCTTTACCCACAAAAGCTTATGCCCAAATAAATGTTAGTCTTTAAGGTGCCACCGGACTCCTTGTTGTTTTTGTGGATACAGACTAACACGGCTACCTCCTGATACTTGATGAGATGAACTAGGATCCAGGGACATGCTTGAAGTGAAATCAAATGAGTGATACCAATCCATCATAAAATGCATATTGCAAGTCAGTTGAAATATGCAGAGTTAGAGGAAAGAGCGCTGTGAAAAATAGAACTTCATTAGACCTTCATTATACAAGGTTTCCCTTGTCCATGTGTCTGTGTAAATCTGCCCCTGCAATCCAGGGAAATTTCACTTGCTATTGAAAATCTCATATCAATAACTCTTGTACAAATTTATATTCAAACAGGCTTTTGAATTTAAGTATCTTTTCTGTTACATCCTGTGGGTGATTTAACATTTAATGCATTTTGCTAGAATATACAGTAGATCATCAACTGTAAAGTATGTGTTTAAAAATATACATTCTAACAACTTGATGAACTTTTAAAGTTCATTTACTGTTTGATTCTAACAGATCTACTTGCCTGAAATTATTTGATTTATCCCTGTGCTTCAGAGCCTGAGAAACAGGTTATTTTTTTAATAAATCTGCATTCTGCTATTGTATTTTCTTGGCGTAACATGCTTTGTTTACAATCTGTTATGAAATTACTACAAAAGTATTTCAAACACAAGCATAAAAGTGAGACTGAACCTTTTCCATGTAGTAATGAAAATGCTCTGTGTATCAAAACGTACTGTGGAAACATTAGAAATACCCATCTGACTTTGTTTATTAAGATTTTTTTGCTTTAAGTAAAAACTGTCCCAGAAAAATAAAATATAAGCAACTATCTTTTGTAAAAGAGAGGCAATGGACAATCGGTGCAGTGTACAGGGAATTTAAAAAAAATAGATGATTTTTTTTCAATTTCTAAACAAAACAAAACAATGGCATTTAATACTAAAATGTTTTTCTTCTAAATCTTCCCCATGGTAAAAAAGTAAGATAGCAGCCTTTCCACTCAGGAAGCCTGGTCGGTTCAAATAACTGTACAAACATTTTAAGGGCTTCCTATCTACATGGGGAAATTACTGACAGAACTATAATGGTATAATTATACCATTATGGCTATGTTGGTATAATGTCCCATGTAGACACGCTCTATTCCAGAATAAAAGTAACTCTGTTCCAGTATCATTACTGTGCTTTGGAAGTTCTGCTGGCCAGTTTCTCCCATATAGACAAGCCCTAACACTTTGCCTTTAATCCACAGCGTTGCCCATCCAGCACCTTTCATGAGCAATACTTCACTTCTGCAACTTAAACGAATAAATGACGCTGGGATGTTTAACTCCATTTGCTTTCTTATTTATTGATCTGTGTCTTGGCTCCTAGGAGAGAAGACCCCTGGCAAAATCTAAAACTCCTTCCAGGATACTTTGGGTCATCTTGTCTGGAATCTTGTTTTTCGCCATTGTCGGCATCAGTGTGGTGGTAATTTTCAGCTTTACCCATAGGACTACCAAGGTAAGGAATTAATTCATTATGGTTCCAGATACAAAGTTCAATTTCCTATGGGAATATATTGAAGTTGATCTGGCAGGGGGGGAGAAGAAACCTTCCACAATTTTTTTTCTTCCTCTTTTTACAATAGATCAAATACAACAAATATACAGTTAATTATAAATATCCAGGAAGTTTTGCCAGTTGCTTGAGCTCATGTTGTCAAATTCTGCCCTCAATTACACTTGGAGTCAGTAGGATTACACAGGTCAGAATTTTGTCCAAAGAATGCCTTTTACCTTGGTGAGAGCAGACATCCAATTTTTCTTAACTGTTCCTGATATTTTAATCTCTCATAATAAATGCTGCCTCCCAGCAATAACAACATAACTCTCTGTAATCCCAGTGAGAGTCTGGATGGAGGGGAATACATTTTTTCTTTCTTTTCAAGAATCTGACAGACAAAAGGTCAAGGGTAAAAAAAAAAAAAAAGAAAAATATTGATGTTTGCTCCTAGTTAAGAAATCAAATAAAAACAAGTGTGGCCAATTTCACCCTGGTCAGGACCAGATTAAGGAACCAGCACCGTAGGCCTGTGCCGAGAGCCCATCTTTTGGATTCATGTGACTACATCAGAATCTGTTTTCTTTTTGTTCTTTTCTTTCTTTGTTTTTTTTTTTAAAGTACATTTCGAGCCCTTTATGGTTACTAATAAGTGTTTGAAAACATAATCCAAGCGTGACTATCCCAAGTCATGCGTGCTTGAGTCTGCAGAGATCCTAAAAAAAACCAACTCTCAGAGGTATGTACTGTCCCACTCAGCTCAGGGAGGTGTTAACTCTAAGACCCTTTGCTCTGGAGGCCTCCCCAGCTAAGGTTTCCTTGTGTGACAGAAGAGTGCAACAGCCCCTCCCACCCGAGCAGATGCACCCCAGCTAATGGGTTTAAGTAATAGGGAATGCTTGCTGCCCCACTCTGGGAGAGAGCAGAGCTCTTGCTGTTGCTCCTGGGAAGGAGAAAAAGGTCCCGTGCCATGGCCCCTGCCTCTCTGGGAGGAGGTGGGGCTGTGGCTATGGGGGTGGAGCATGTCCTTGTTCCGAGGGCACTGATTTGCCTTCTCTGCCCTTGCCCCTCATGAAACTCTGCTGCAGTCAATGAGCTGAGATCAGGGATTAATCTGCCCCATTGTCCCTTTTAAGGTGACCTGCCAATAGCAGCCCTTAATAAATGCATTTCAGAAGCCACAGTATCACAGTAGTGTCCAAGTGTGTGGGGGGGGCTGTTTCAAGGAATGATGCACACAGCCTGGTGTGCTATTTACATCTGGGGAGAACTCGTCTGCCGGGGACGGTTACATCAAAGGAGTCTCGATATCCCATTTGTTAATAAAGGCAGTAGGTGCTTGTTCTCTTCTAAGCAGATTACATGTGTGATTACAACTTCCTGCCACTAGGAGAGCCATAGAGGGTCTGTGCACCCGCACAGTGAGCAGTGCTGGTGGGGAACAGGTGAGCAGTGAGGCACCTCCCTTCGGCATCCTCCATTTGACGGAGCTCCTTGGGAGCCTCGCTGGGATCCAGCGAATACGCTGCCCTCCATTAGGGTGAATATCTGCATGGGTGCAAGGGGCAGCCCTGGTGTAACTATCCCCTGCGTTGTCTGTCGTGGAGCTGGCCTGGCCTATGTTATGCTGCTGCTCCTTGCTCCCGCACTGGCTCCATGTTTGCTTCCAGCTGCAATTCAGGCCCTATATGGTTGGGGCCCCCTGCCGGAGACCAGCTCTCGCCCACCCCAGATAGCGCCCAGCACATGTGCTCATGCTCACATGCCCTCGGTTTGAATGGCTGGTGGAGGGCCTTTTCTCTGGAATCTGCTTGCCCCATTGCTCTGACCGAGTCTGCATTTAGCTCTGTTCATTGTTAAATAGCTCAGACTAAGAACATGTGGAAGCAAAGGTCCTGGGAGGTTAGTCTCCTAATGAGCGAAAAGTACGGCCACGTTCCCCGAAGCAAGTGGCTGAGAATGATTAGAGAGGAAAGCGGTCCTCCCTTGGGCCAGCTGATCCCCACACAGGCTCTGTAGCTGCAATCCCAACCCGTCACTCCTTGGGGCTGGGAGCGCAGCCTCTGCTCTCATTGTGTGTGTGTATGTGTGTGCTCAGCCTGTTTTGCAGATTGTGCGGCTAACGTTTCAGAATCACCAGGGCTCCCAGACGAATCAGTCGGCCTTTGTTGACAAGTCCAAGAATACTGTTACTTATCATGTAACTTCGCCAACTAACCACACAACGGTGGTCTTGTTCGACAGCAAGAATGTGAGTGCAGCAGAGCAGGAGGGCTTTGCTTGGTGTTACCACCTCTTTGAGTGAAATGGGTGACTTTGCAATTATAAGAGTCAACGTCTCAGAGAAAAGTTTCAACTAAAGTATGCCTGATCGTTGTTGGTTTGAGAGCTAGGTGCAGACAAGGGGGTGGTGATCAGCTGTTTTTTCTAACTCTCCTTTTCAGAGGCTTCAGGGAGGCAGGTATTGGCCCTTCATCCAGGCGGCCTGAGGCAGTAATACATACTGTTTAGAGCACTGACTCTGTGATGCCCCGTTCCTCCCTGCACATCAGCTGCTTTTACACAAATCCGAGAGCTGAGGTGGCTTTGGAGCTGGCTGCTGTGCTGTACTGGAAAGCCATGCAGTGCGCACTCCCACCTAAACCGCAGCTCGAGTTCCAATACTCGGAGTTCCGAGACTCTGTCCAAGATGGGGAGCTGTCCCACGTCAGTATAATGACCCCCGTTTTATCCCCTATCTTCCCTGCATCGCTGACCATGCAACAGGGAAAGGACTCTGCAGCTTGTCCTTGAGTGATGGAGACAAAGCGGTCTGCGTAGGGGACCAGGACTTTGGAACTCATGAGTTCTAATTCCAGCTTACGCAGACTCCCATTCACAATCCCAGGGACCCCACCTCCATTCCTGTTCATCATTGCCCAGTCCCACCTCCCTTCCCAGCGGTGATCACATGGCACCCCTATGGCAACTGCAGCGATTAATTGCTTGCAAAAGTATCAAAGCCCATTTAGTACTTTCCTTTCTTCTAATGCAATTTAGCAGGTGAAAGGAGGACAGCTAGCTCTACAGGCAGCTTCCAAGTGCTCCTTGGACCACAGTTGGAGAGCTACTGTTGTCTATACCACTGGTGAGCCACAGTCAGTGTCTAATAAATCTCCCCCCGCCCCATTTCCAGGGCTATGTTCATTCCTGTCGAAAGGCAGCCACTCGGGCGGCTGCTTCGCAGAACAATGCAGGACACGGAAGACTTTCTATTAAGGGTTAGCTGTAGATAAGCACTGCGTACACACGTGCTGTGTCAATGAAACATACGCTGTTCTGTGTTGTGTTTTGCACAGGGCTATGTCTGCTATAAACCCGCAGATCAAAATGCATGTTACCTGCGGAAGATGGACGATTGGGATCTTGAGAACGTGCAGATATCTTTCAATCTATCTGAGCACAGGGTGAGCAGTTACATGATTCCTGCACAGGGGTAGCTGAACCGCTGGGGGAGGAACGGACACCAGCTACCGAAAGGCTCTCTAGAATCTTGTTAAAACCCCATTGCTGGGTGGATTTGTTTTCCTAGTGAACGTTTTTATACGTTGAACCAAGGCGATGTAAGTGAAGCTAAACAGAACCACTAGCTCTTCCAGCTGTAAAGGAACTTTTTGGCATTTCTCCTTCAGAGAATAGTGCTGCTCGATTCTGCCTTGCACCGATAGCCAGGTTGGATTGTGACAGAACAGTTCAAATGACACTGGGAGGAAGTGGGCGACTGAGTTTATAGCGATTTAATATTTTTTGTACAAAACATAAGGAGGGGGGTGGAAGAGCAAGACAGTGGTGTGCCGTGGGATGTGAATAACTGGACTTTAACAAACCCCAGTCCCACTGTACTGGCTTGGCAGATTCTGTTACCTGCTAATAATAATTCTGAGGACGAAGACACAAAGGTGGTTTTGTTAGCAAATCAACAGTGAAATAAGTTTTGAGTAATGATGTATAACAACCCTCTGAACAAAATGTTAATGGATTTAATAGAGGGGAAAGCCAGATTCTGTTTCAAGAAGACAGAGGGCCCTATTTTTTGAATGTCAGAAAACAGATGCCAGGCTGTGCTGGATTTCCTTACTGCCTTGATCATGGGGGCTGCTTAACGCAGACTCATCCTTTGCTTTCCTCACCCCACTCCCTCGCTGGATAATAAGGACCATTTAGAATAAATGAACAGAGGAATGAGAGACCCCTGAGAACATCAACAAAATGCACCCAGGAAAGAGAACCCTTCAGCAGAAGCCCTCTTCTGGCTTCAAGGCCTCTGCAGGATTGTTAAATGAAACTAAAGAAAGAGTGACAGCCCCTGAGGCAGCACATCTGGTGGTCACAGCAGGCAAACAGCAGTCTGTCTTGGTTTTAGTCCTGACTCTGCCAGTCACTCAGTGTGGGGCCTCAAGGTCTCATCTGGATACTCTGGTGAGGGAGAGATTCTCACCTGTGTGTGTGTGTCAGGTTCCCCATCTGTAAGTAGGGATAGTGTGAGACTTCATTATTGTCTGGGAGGCATTGGCAGATCCTTGGGTGGAAGGCAAAGAGACATTCTCATGTGGTCTTTCCTGTTAGTTTTAAAGTGACTCTTTTCCACAGGAGGCCTCAGAGTCAATGTGGGAGACCAACATCCAAGCTCCCCTCCCCTGAGGTAGCGTCCTGGGAGGAGGGCAAGCCTCTTCCTGGGAAAACCCCTCCTGCCCCTCTCAGAAGGGTTCCACCCATCGCTCATCCTGTCCTTTCTAGCCAGAAGGAAGGTCCCTGTGAGAGGGGAGATTCCATAGAGAGGTCTCTGCTTGCCACTAGGTTAGGGATTGCTCTTAGAGGGTCTATGAAATGACACTTTCTTTCCTGTGATAAGCCATGCTGTGATATTCCTTTCAGGTCAATCAGCTGCTGCTTCAGAATAATCAAACCAAGTACTACAGAGAGTTCCTGGGGATTCTGCCGGGGAGACAAGCAAATGCCGGAAGCTTGGGGGAAGCCATCCAAACCCTGTGTGAGCAGACTTCCATCTACTGGGTCAGGAAAGGGGATGGTAAGTTAGAGGAACTGCCCTTCAAAGGAGGGGAGCAGTCATTGCTTCTGAAGTGAGGATCATGGAATCAGCTGGGAACCTGGGGAAATTATGGGCAAAGTGGGGTTCAGATATGTCCTATGTGGAGATAAGAGATACTGTGAGTGACATGAGTGCAGGTTATCACTTCTGCTGGCTTGACAGCCCTGGCATGTGAAATGGCCTCTGCCTCCCCAGACAGACACAGGGCTGTGCTAGTGCAAACTTCCCCATCCTAGCATGATAATGAGCATTAACTCTGCTGAGCTCAATTTCCAGGACCATTTGATATTGGCCACTTTGCTCAGACTTTTAACAAGGGGGCCAGCTGTGATGGCTTCTATAACATGGACAAGGGACTGTCCTAAGATCCAACTACTCCTACCTCTCTAGTCACTGCACGGCTGTTAGATGCTAACGACTTCCAGCCACATCAAGCTGGCTTGGTATTGAACTAGTGAGGAAAGGCTGCATCCCATTTCCCCTGGCTTGAGCCACTCCGCATGCCCCAGGTGGAGGAGTGGAATAAAAATAAATAATGACCATCCCAAGGAGCCACTGCACCACCTCACTGGCTTTGGCAGTTCAATAGTCACCATCTCTTCTCCCCCCTCGAAAGTGATCCATAGAAGAGCTTGTTCTGTTTTAACTGAGCTCTTCGAGGACAGAGAGCTAGGAAGACCGTTACCACAGGTTTCCCATGTTTCATTCTCCAGAGGGGCAGCATTCCTACACATGAAGGATTGCGACAGGCCAAGCTCTTCTTTCTGTGCATTTTATCTCTATCTCTTTTTTTTTTTCTTTTTTTGCAGGTCCTGGGAAGAAGCGGCTCATTTACCTATGCATTGACATCTGTTTTCCAAGCAATGTTTGCTTGTCTGTCTGCTTTTATTACCTTCCTGATTAAGCCCTGCTCCAAGGGGACTGATCTTCCCCCCCCCCCCTTCTCTTTGTACTTGAATTTAAATCCTGAAAAGCCTCTGACTTAAATAAGTTAATGTCTAAGTTATTCAGATAACTACCATATGAAAGGCTCCAACCCTGATTTCATGATGCAATTTCAGAGGTTGGGAAAGTGCCAGAAGGGTTCTAATTAAACAGGACTATTTCCAAAAACATGTTGCAGCTCTGTCAATATATATACACGTTTTATTTACAACCCTATGCCTGGGCTGTGCCCTGTAGACATGCATATAGAGTAATTACATCACATAGGGAGGAGACAGGCTCGGCTCGGGGCTGCATGTACAAGTGTTCAACAAAAAAGATTTTGTTTTGAATCAGTTAACACGGTTTTTGTCTAAAATTCCCCTGCTAAGTCTGTGCAATTGACTTAAATAAAGTGACTCCAAAATGAGGAAATGGTTGTTGCTCCTCTGCTCCCCTTTCAAAATGATTCATTCCAGCTTCCACCCGAGAGAGGCTGCTGGCGTCTTCCCCTCCACAGAGAGGAGCTTCCAAAGGCTTTCGCTGCACCCTCAGTGGTGCAGAGGCCGTATGGGGGCTCATCGAGCTGCACTGTCTCCACCTTCCCTGCACTGAAAGGGGTTGAGTAAAATGCCTCTGAGTTGGGCACCCTATTCAACTACGTTTCAGTCTGTTCCCCGAGAGAAGCGCTGGGGTGAGGAAAAGGGGGCAGTTTCCTTTTACTCTAAGGAAACGTTACAAGCAATGCTTTATTCTAACAAAGAAACGGGCATCCAAGGCTGAGTCCATTAGTCAGGGTACTTGGTGCATTAAACGGTCAGGCACTTACAAAGCAGCGCCTACCCACAGCTCCTTTATTTTCTCTCTCTCCTTAACCCTGCTCTAGTCACGCCACTGCACGTTCCAAACCACCTATCTGAAGGACGGCTCCTTTAAGAGCAGACATCCATCTATCTAGCCATCCACCAGGGGTAGCACTGCTACAGCTAACAGAAAATTCATAGGCAACCCCAACAGCTGGAGGCTTATTCAATACTGCAGAAGTCTCCATTCAAGACAGTGCCTTCCTGCCCCAACTGTGATGTAAAAATCAAGTACAAGCTGCCAGATGATGTTTACTGGTCCTCTTTGACTTGAACAAGATACAGTGTCACAAGGGCAATCTCCAGCTGCTTCCATTTCCTTTTGAAACAGTAATGGGAGATGTCATGCTGCTGACTGACTGCCAGCCCTGGAGAGTGAAGGCCTCTCTCTGTCCGCAAAGGCACTGCAGGGCCAGCTTCCCTCACAACCTGCCTCAGCCCTGAGCTGCAGGGATGCTCTGTAGCAGTAAGAGGAATTCAGTCTCCACGGCCCATCCAGTCCTTTGCCTTGCTGCTGAAACTGAACAAGGAGACCAATTAGTGCCAAATGTGCTGGATGTTCGTGGGTTTGGCTGTGCATCCACTAGGATTTGGACTGAGCGCATCAGCCTATTTCACACAGGCCCTGAACACCCATCTGCACAGAACCGCTTCCAGTTGCTAAGTACCTGAGCTGGATGTGAACAGGCAAAGTGGAGGTGAAAGGTGCTGTGTCCCACTCCCACCCACCTGAGCCACCCAGGACCCCTCTCAATTTAAGATTACTTCAGTTTTGCTTTGCTTAAAGCTGTTCTCATTCCAGGCTGAATACTGCTTCTGCTGAAGATTCAGCCGTCTCCTATCAGAGAGGGGGGTTGGTTACAAATGTATGTTCCACGTACTCTAGGTAGGATACTTGTCATGAGAAGGCAACTGAATGAGCAGTGGTCCCTTCTCTCCAACGCGTGCACGTTATCCCAAAACGCTATCATTGAAAGCGAGGCAGACGACTGCTTTCTGGTGGCCACTGTATTCCCTCTTGATCTCGCCTGTCTCCACACACCAAAGCCTGGCCAAATTATCTGAGGAGGCTGGAAAGGGAAGTGAAGAGATATTGACCACAAGGAAATGTCACACTTGTGCCTGTTTTTTCTTGCAAACATCCTTGGGAATAGGTACTGCAGTGTTCCATACAGCATGGAATACTCACAGGCAGTGCTTTGAAAATACTGAAATGGCCACACACATTTCAGGCTACCTCCTTACCACATGGAAAAACACAATGCACATTAGGCTTATATTAAAGAGACAAAGCGGGGGAGGTAGTATCTTTTATTAGACCAACTTCTGTTGGGGAGAGAGAAGCTTTCAAGCTTACACAGAGCTCTTCTTCCGGTCTAAAGGAGGTCAGGTCCAGACTTGAAGAGGAGCTCTGTATAAGCTAGAAAGCTTGTCTCTTTCACCAACAGAAGTCAGTCCAGTAACATATTACCTTACCCACCTTGTCTCTCTAATATCCTGGGGGCCAACACAGCTCCAACACCAGAGCAAACATGAGGCTTATGTCTGATTAAAACAAGATGCAATAGGTTTTATGTTTAAAAAACAAACAGGTGAAAACAGCTAAGAGAATTAGTCAACTATATGGTATAGCGGAAGAGCGTATGAGTGAGGGATCACATGCTTTGTGTGGGGGGGAGGAAGGGATCCTCCCTTCCCTTGGACCAGATGCATTTGGCATGAATGGGGAAGTCTGCTGCTTTGAAGCATTGTGAATTGGCCTCACCTCAAGCTAGAGAGGTCAACAAATCCTGTGATGCTATACAGGCCTCCCTCCCTCCCTCCCAGGCATTCTTGGGATATCTGGCCAGTGACGCATGTCTTACCGGTGACAATATACTGAGAGTCCCCAGAAAACGCGCAGTCCCACATCCAGCCACGGGAGGTTTCTCCTGGGTTGTTACTCTTAATGCTCAGCTCTGTCATTAGAGAGAAGTTTGAAGTCCTCCAGATCTTACATGTCTGGTCTGCAGAACAGGTAGCTAAGAGCCTGGGAGGGAAAGAGGGGAGAGAGACGTGTACAGGTTTACGATTTGGTACTATGCTTCTAAATGACTCACTCAGCTGGTTCTGGACTGGCAATAAACTGATGAAGCACAGCATGCTGGGGCCGGCAGTCTTCACAGGCTCCTTCCCCAACCCGGTATTAGAGGACAACGGTCGCCATCTGCCCTCCTTAATGCAAGGTAAATGGGGTAGAGAGAGAGAGAGAGACTTTCACTCACAGAGAGGTCAGTAAATCAGATCTCTGGTGTAAATGCAGCTCTGGTTCTCCCAACCGTAAAAAGGGTTGAAACTTCCCAGAGCACTTCTGAGATCATTAAGCAAAAACAGGGAAATAAGTGACAGTCCAACTGATAACTCAGCTGCCTCCTTAGCCACTCTCTCGGGCAGCTGGAATGCTGCTACGGAGCCAGCATTATGTCAACAGCTGGGGGCACAGCCAGTCCCCTGGTACCTGACTTGAAAGGACTCTTTTGTTTTAGCCACCAGTAAATAGCTACGCTGGCAAGACACTCACGTGGAATCAGGACTGAACTTGCACTGAAGGGCATAGCGGTTGTGTGCTGGAATTTTGGTCTTGGGGATTAGCTGAGTTACCTCCTCTCCAATGCCACCTGTTAAATTCCAGACATAACAATTGCCCTACGAAGAGAGAGAGACATTATTGCTGTAAGAGATCAGGAGAGATTTAAGCACCACCCCTTTTGATCTTTATATCCAAGTACTCACCACCTCCTGCTCCATGATACAGTGAACTTTGCACATCAGACACATGCACAGAAGCAAAGTGTTGATATGCAAAGGCAGGCCGACTTCTAATGCGTTGCTGCAGCAGTGACAATTCATATTCCCTTTCTCCAGCTGTACTTACCGAACTATTGACAGCTGCCATGTAACTGGCATCTGGGTCAATATGAACTGAATTGACAGAAACTTCAGGCTCTGGAATGAGTTGTTCATTGTGGTCTGTTTTCAGGTCCCAGATGTGAATGGCACCACTCTGATCACCTACAATTAGCTCAGCCTGCAACGAACAAACAAATTCTCCATAATGCTCAGAAACACCAAGTGGGGTAAATGTCTGTGTGTAGCATTCCCGAGAAAAGGTGCATCAAATGCAGCTGCCACTCTCGTTTAAGAAGTCTCGATTTTCCTATTCTATCCACTTATTCATGAATATGGCAATCCTTTAGATTTCCATCTCGCTGTACAAACGTTAACTAGTTAATCCTCGCTGCACGCTGCAAGGTAGAGAAATACTGTCCTCATGTTACAGATGGGAAACTGAGGCAGAAAGATTAAGGCCGACATTTTCACAAGTGTCCGTTAATTTTCTGCACCCACCTACAGACATCTGGAGCCTGATTTTCAGAAGCACTGAGCACCTACAACTCTAGCTGAAGTCCACTTCAGCACCTCTGAAAAATCAGGCTCTAGAGGTCCAGGTGGGCACCGAAAATTGAAGCACTCAAAATTAGTGAATACTTTTCAAACTGTGGGCCTAAATGATTTTCTCAGGGTCACAAGTCATTATAGGATTTGTTATGCTGGATCAGATCACTGGTCAATCTAGTCCCCTATTCTGTGTCCAACAGTGAGCAACAACTATTGCTTCTGAGACACATGACCACTGCCCATAATGTAATTAGCCAATGGGGCAGAGCAATAATTTCTCCCTGATATCTCCAGTGATCAGCTTCCACCCTTAGTCATGAAATTTGATTGCCCCAAATCTTAGAACAGGTCATTAGATTATCCAGGCCTCTATAAAAAAAAAAAATTATCTCCAGAACCTGAGTCCATTACATCCTGCGGCAGTGAGTTACACAGGTTGATGACACTATATGAATAAGTATTTCCTTCTCTTTGTGCTAATTTACTCTGATTTGCCCTTGAACTAATGTCCTTCTTACAGCACTGTAGTGTTCTGCTTAGCCATGTTTTCAAATGCAAAAATTGTGTACAATATTGGACACTAATATAAAACTTTCCATTTTCAAGCACTGTCACTGTACAAACAGTATTAATTAGGTGAAGGTCATCACTGATCTAATCCAAAATTCAGCTCTTGCAAAATTAAGCTTTTACAAAGCCAAACATCTTCAGGCTTTTGCACAATTAATAGAGCTGAACAATCAACAGAGAGAAATCTAAAACCATAAGACTCAACACAAAGTACTAATAACACTTCCTGGGACTGACACAGAAGCGGTCTGATATTTCACATATCTTGGCAGCATTGTAAGTATTAAAGGTGGAGCAGGTGAAGACATTAAAGCTAGAACAGCAAAAACCAAACATGCCTTTGTAACTCTAAAGCCCATCTGGAGAAACTGAAACCTTGCGCTCCAAACTAAAACTTAAATATTTGATCATCATTGTAAAGTTGATCTTACTATATGGTGCTGAAACTTGGAGATTTCTTAAGATCTACACTCCAAGTTTTCACAGTTAGTGCCCTTAGATAAATCCTCAATATCAGATGGGCAGAAAAAATTACAAGCCAAGAACTCTGGAGAAGGATGAAACAGAAACAGATAGAAGAGGAAAATACAGAACAAAAATGGAGATTATTAGTACATCCACGGAGAAAGATCTGAATAACAAAAGACAGGCATTGGATTGGAACCCCCGGGCAAGAGGCGACAAGGTAGAGACCAAGGATAACATGAAAACGCACAACAGAAGCAGAACTGAAAGCTATCAAAATGACATGGGAAGAAGCTAAGATTGAAGAAGACCAGCAACAAAGGAAGACAGCAATGAAGGCCTTATGTATTCCACATGGAACAGAGGCATAAACATAAGGAGGCCAAGGAAGTGTTTGCTTGGGGGAGGGATAGCTCAGTGGTTTGAGCCTTAGCCTGCTAAACCTAGGGTTGTGAGCTCAATCCTTGAGGGGGGCCATTGAGGGAGATGGGGGGGACAAAAAACACCACACACTGTCAGGGACAGTAGTTGGTCCTGCTAGTGAAGGCAGGGGACTGGACTCAAGGTCCCTTCCAATGCTATGAGATAGGCATATTTATATTTGTGATTTTCCCCCCTAAAATGACAATGGTTTGTTTTTCAAGACAAATAAATCTTTCATTGCAATGTTTGCAACTCAAACATTGGAGCCTTGAGCTTGTAGATATGAAATTGACTTAACATGGATGATCAAAATAGAAGTGAAATCAAATGGTCTATTTGCATTGTCTCAGCAGAGTGAAATACAAAATTTTAAGAAAAAGCCCACAAACATTTTCCTTATTGCAGGAAGATTTTAGGGGGAAATCAGCCCAATAACAGCTACAGTTTTAAACATGTTTAACGTCCAAGTCATGAGTTTTATGCCTCCACTAGCAGAAATATATAATTTTTAAACAGGATTAAAATTCAAAATCAGCCACCAAAATATCCTCGAAAGAATCCAATAGGCAATCTGAGTAAGAATGAAAAAATTCTTAGCACCTTTTTTATTTACTGCACAAGGGATGTTTTGCTTTCACAACACAGAGAGTGAAGAACATTTCCATGGAGCAGGGCGCCTGTGTCTCAGTTCAGCAGATCATCATTAACAAATAGACACCATGCACAGTACACCAAGAAGTGGATCTGCAGCAACAAATGGCAGCATTGCTTACGTAACAATCCCGCACTATGATGCTTATCCAGTAATGCCATCTAGTGCTCAGAGAAGCACTGAACAATCATAGAAGTAACTCATCTACCATACTTGCAAAAATTCACTCTTCGTGGAGACGGGTCATTATCTGGCTCAAAAGTATTATAATATCTTGGACTCTGACCACCCTTTGTAGCAACCCCAGCATCTAGTAGTTAGAGCAGAGGTTGGGCATCAAGACTAGTGGGTTCTAATCCTGTCTCTGCCTTTGATTAGCTTTGTAGTCTTCAACAAATCACCTTATTTCTGTGTCTCAGGGCTTGTCTCCACTAAACACGCTACAATGGCGCAGCTGTGCCGCTGTAGCACTTCAGTGCAGACATTACCTACAGCAACAGGAGGGGTTCTCTTGTCCATGTAGGTATTCCACCTCACAGAGAAGCGGTAGCTAGGTTGATGGAAAAATTAGTCTGTCAACCTAGTGCTATCTACCCCGGGGACTTAGGTCAGCTTGATGCCACTCAGGGGTGTGGATTTTTCACATCTCCCACCACCATAGTTAAACCAATCTAATTTTCTAGTGTAGACCAGGCTATAGTTTCTCTGCCTCAGGTGCTGGGAGGCTGCATGGTTTGTAATGCACTCTACTATCCTTCAACAGAAAGAGTGGAAGGTATTAAATTAATTACAACAGTTGGGGAACTCAGATCTTGCTGACACTAATTACCTGACTCACACAGCCAGCCAGGAAGCCCTCAGCTTTATAAACAGAGGAGAAAATATTGTCATATACAAGAGCATTTGCTGTAATAACTGCCAACATAAAATGATGTAGCACATCAGATTTTTAACAAGGAAGAGAACATCTGTAAAACCTTCCCTGATCAAGAATAGGTCTGGTAAGTGCAAAAGAGACTGCGTTTACCTGGTTGGGATGCAAGCAGACACAATTAATAGGAGCATTCACTTGGAAAATGCGTTGGCACTGAAGGTTACGTGATCTGGCAACAAAAAGAACACAAACGAGAGAAGTCAGATGAGATGAGAGTTTACACTAAGATCTTCCATTTCTTTAATTTGCTTTGTGGCCTTGAACAAGTCACCTTACTTCTGGGTCTTAGGGTTGTCTACACTTAACACTGCAGTGGTGTTTACCCACAGCAGCTGTTTGACAGCACATACCAGCACTACACAATAGCTTTGAGCAGGATGTGAAGAATCCTATTTCCAACTGAAACTTCAGAAGGGATTTTAGGGAGACACAGTGTAATTACTGTGACACAGAGACCCTTTGGCAAAAGGTCCCCTATTCTTTGTAAACAACTCTCACCTCACACCTGACGAACTCATTACATCAAACATGTCATACAGGATATTTATCCATAGTAACATGTAAGGTACCTACCGAAAGCTCATAACTTGTCTAGAGTCACAATCACTGTGAGATGTATATACAGGTAATGTTTAAGGAATAATATTGAAAATATATTTTATGGACTTGGAGCAAAACGTAGTCACCGGGGTAACAGGTATCAGTGATGGTGCATTCAGGCAGGAGCGAGTTGTCACCCAGCCATTTAGCTGGTGATGCAGTGCAAGGCTCAACTGCTTAACCTTGCCAAGACCAAGACTTTCAATGGAAAAACATCAGAGACAACTGCAATCAATCAAACTCTCTAGAAGGTAAAAAAGGAATATTATAACATGAGGTTTTCCCTGACTATGAACAGAAACAAAAAACTATTTCAGTAAAACCCAGAGAAGGGAAAGGTCCTCTGTATCCTTTCACTGAGGAGACATCGGGGAGCAGGGATGTTCTCATGAAAAATTGGATCCTATTTCTTTGTGAAACCAACTAGCTCTGCCACAGACTAAACTTAGGGGGCAAAGCCGACTTTATTAGATCGGAAAGGGACCTATTCATAAGTATAGACCCAGGCTCACACTTTATGCTTTTGTTTTGTAAACCATCTGTTTCCACCACTCTCTCGTTTCTAGTTAAATCTTTATTCTTTCTTACAGTAAAACAAAGATAGGTTTATGTAAGTGCTGTGTGGCTTACAGGAGCAGAGGTTTACGGTAAAACTGGTAAACTGGGGCACACTGCTCCTTTGCGGGCAGAGGATCTGGGATTTCTTGAGTAGCCAGTGTCAAGAGCTGGAGAGCACAGAAAAACGATTAAAAGGAACTCAGTGACTGGGATGCACCCACAGTTAACTTGCAAGACATAGCCCAGAGAAGAGTGCTTGAGTCACTGAAAGGCTGGTGGTGTGAGGGAGCTGATCCCCACCCAGGCACAGGTAAGACTCCCTCATGCTGGGGGCAGAAGGTAACAGAGTAACTCTCAATCTGGGAACCCCAAGAACTGTCACAGTTACCCAAACTGGAATTAGCCCAGAACACTAGGGTTAACACTCCTCTCTTGTTAAAGGTACTTTGGAATCTCTAATGATCAAAACTGGCCAGGACCTTCCAAATAAGGCACCTCCACGGCATCATTACTGGTTCAATATTGATTCTGGGAAAAGACCGCTACTTCCTTGTGTTCTTATGTTCTCCTGAATCCCCAGTGCAACTTCACATGGCACCTGGCATTTCCTTGGAGGTCTCCCATCCAAGTACTGACCAGTGTCAGCCTTGCTTAGCCTAGGAGATTTTCATAAGCTCAAAGCCCAAGGACGTTTATGGAAACCTCAACTCTCTTAGGAGTTTTGTCCCAAGTGGCCCAGCACAGGAAGGTGGGCTGGCATCGGCGGTTACCTCAGGTCCCATATCCTAGCCATACAGTCTTCTCCTCCCGTGTACATCCAACGACCATCTTCGTGGAATCCAACGGAAGTGATGTTCTTACTTACGCCATCATAATTAATGACAGGGTTGGGGTTATTAGAGTTCAGATCATACATTCGAATGTGCTGGTAACCTGGGCGACAGAAATATGAACACTAATAGTCTTCTATCAGAAAACTGCCAAAGCCCTATTCCACAACCTCCTTGTTTTGGGGCCACTAAAACACGGTAAAGGCAAATTTCACCATTTCACTCACCTCAGCAGTCTGCAACTCCAAAACTGCAGAAGCACTTCTCACAGGGATTATAGTGAGACATGCTCATGAAATAAATGACAGTTGGCATTTCTGAGCCAATTGTTGGTGGCCAACTGGTAATGAAAAGTGAATTATGTGCAGTAGGGCTAAATTACAACCAGGGTACTGGGGACCACCAATATCAGAGGCTGTAGAACAGTTTCCACTCTGCAGGCATGGGAAAAGGTGGGGAGAAGCCCATCAGCAAGACTCACCTGCAGCAGCAATCATGCTGCGGTCTGGGGTGATCTCCAGAGCATTTACTTGCTAGCAGCACTGGTTAAGGTTAACAAAGAGAGCAATTAGCTCTCCAGCAGAACAAAAGTGTTATCTTAAATTCACACTGCCCTTAGAAAAGTAAGGTTAACAAGGACTTTCTGACCAGTGGACCTTTCTTTAGGGATGATCCATTTTGGAAAAGGGGCACTTTAACACACTATGATGTGTCAGGAGATTTTCAAATCAAATCAAAAGAATTCTCCTGTAAAATGAGATTCAATACAGAAGCAGTAATCTAGCTCTTCATTTTGGTCCAAAAATCTGTCAGAAGGTGTATCCACTGTTGAGGAGTTAGAAAGATTTGTAGGGGAGGCCAAACATGGCGAGCATCAATGGGGCTGTTTTCTTACAGGCACAGACCAATTCCTGCTTATTAAATTTATTTGTGTATGCGCTGGGATCCGGGAGGCTACTCTTCCTTGATTGCAAAGCTCTTTTCCCAAGATGTTATATATTCATGCTTTTACTGCCTCATTTTTGCCCTTTGTCAAACACTAGTATTTATTTACCCTTTGCTGTTTCTACAGAAGCACAAAGCAGCACAGTTGGGTTTGTTTGCTTACCTCCTCATCTGTGGAGTAACAGAACGTATGATGCCATCAGGCATTTGCACTATTCTAGGAACAGTGGAGTTTTAGCTTACTGACTTTGCCTGGTCATGAGGGGGGGAGAAACTTGCCCACTTTCTGTAGGTCCTACAATTTTTTTTCTTTTTATAAAGCAAGCATGCAAACAGATAAGAAAAAATTCTCTGTGTTCCCCCTGAATCCTCTCCCCACCAAACTAATGCATAACAATGTTAGACAAGCCATTGTCTCATCATATTTTGGCATCCCATGTAGCAATTTCTGGGTTGTGGGCAGAGGGTGGAAGAGTTCCACCACTCCCCCACCAAATCTGACTGCTGTTTTAGAAAGTGTCTCTCAAACGAAACACAAAGCGTGCCTCTGGTATGGCCACACCCTAGCATTTCAGATAGCACACTGTGAATGTGTGCTGAGTGTGCAGAAAGATACACAGATAGAAGATAGCATGGTTTCCCAGCCTTAAAGAGTGTCTAACGACTGACTGAAGCCTGGGTTGAAGTTTGGGTCAAGTGTCTGATCTGGGGACTATTTCAGGGTCGGCCCATAACACAGAGGTGGTGGAGCTCTCTAAAGAGATGGGATGAGAAATACACAGGTTTGCTTAGGGAAGGGTCTTGCCAAGGCACTGCAAGAAAAGCTTCCAATGACCGTGGTCTCTGCCCCACAGGGCTGAAGCAGGGCTCAGGTCTGTCTCCACACCTGCTCTGGAGGGCGCAGTGCTGCGGGGTGCTAGGCTAGCAAACAGAACCCCATGTCGCGGGCCAACGCTGCCAGCCCCGCCGGGCAGAGGCGAGCCGGCCGGGGGCACCCTCCGTGGGAGAAGGATACAGAGTCCTGGTGCTGGACGGTCCGGGTGCAAATGCCGCTGTGCGCCTGCCAGAACCGGACCGTGTGGTCGTAGCCAGCCGTGGCCAGGATCACCGGGTCGCTGCCCACCGTGCCCTGCGCCGCGTTCATGGCTGACACCTGTGCGGGGAAGGAGCAGAGAGAGCGGTGAGACCCAGGCCCCCGTCCGCCCGGTCCAAGACCCAGGCCCCGCTCTGCCCGGTCCGAGATCCGGTCCAGGATCTGGTCCGGTCCCCCCTGGCCCGGCCCTGCCCCGCCCCGCCCCGCCCCATCCCGGCCGCACGGGGGCGCAGTCCGGGGACGCCTGGCCCGGCCCGACCCCCGGGCGCGGGCTCCCCTGCACTGCCGCCCTGGCGTGCCCATCACCGGCGCGTCGGGGCGCCCCCCGGCCCGGCCTCTCCCAGCAGGCCCCGCGGCTCCCAGCGGGGGGGGGGCAGGGCTGGAGGCAGGCGGCTGCGCTGGGGGAGGGGCCGAGGGGTGGACCCGGGCCGAGCGCCCCGGTACCTGCAAGGCCCGGCGGGAGGACCGGGCTGGAGAAAGAAAGCCGTGCCGCGGCGCACGCGCAGAGCGAGCAACACCCCTCGCCGGAGGGGATGCGCATGCACAGAGTAGCGTCGCTTGTCAGGAAAGGGACGCGCCTGCGCACAGGCATTCTCGGAGACCTGCGGGACTCGGCGGCGCATGCGCAGACCGCAATTGCCTGTCACTACCGCAACGGGGCGATACCACGTGAGGGAGGTGGGGCGAGACCATGGGAGACAACAAGCCGGGGGGGAGGTGGGAAATGGGCACTGTGCTCGTGGTGGGAAGCAGCCCCCAGTCCATGCCTTGCTGGCCCACGTGTCCCCACGAGGGGGCGCTAGAGAGAGACTCGGGCTCAGTGCGCTGCCCCTGCAGGGCTCCGCCCTGCATGGGGGGTGCCCCTTGGCAGTGCCCGGGGTGCAGTGCCCAGAGCCCTGGGGCCCTGCCCTGCCCTGGCCCGCTGCAGCAGCGCGCCAGCCCCGGGGTTCAGAAAGCCAGATGCTGCCAAGGAGAATTAGTCATAATAACGCCCGGCTCTTTCTGTCACTCCCTGGGGCTGGAGCCTTTTGGGGTCACATGCTCCAGCTTTTCTCCAAAACGTCCCTTTCCTAAAGGGAAGCGCGGGTTGTTATTCATAATAATTATTTGTATCCCCTTAGCACCTCGGAGCCCCAGCCGTGGGCCAGGGCCCACTTGTGCCAGGGGCTGTACAGACAGGGAACAAAAAGATGGTCCCTGCCCCAAAGAGCGTCCAATCTCCGTATAAGACGGGAGAGTAGAGATGGAGACAGACGGGGAGGACAAGGACACTGTAATGGTCAGCATGCTAGGCTAAGACGGGAGAGTAGAGATGGAGACAGACGGGGAGGACAAGGACCCAGTAATGGTCAGCATGCTAGGCTGTGGGCTCTTGGCTAGTCACCTGCCTTCAGGAGTTGGGGCTTTCAGAAACGTCCAGATATCTGAAGACTGGGGTGACCAGATGTCCCGCTTTTATAGGGACAGTCCTGATTTTTGAGTCTTTTTCTTATATAGGCTCCTATTACCCCCCACCCCATCCTGATTTTTCACATTTCCGAGGCAAAAATCTGTCTGGGGATTGGTCCTGCTTTGAGCAGGGGGTTGGACTAGATGACCTCCTGAGGTCCCTTCCAACCCTGATATTCTATTTCCTGTCTGGTCACCCTACTGAAGACTCATGATAAATTTGTGGGAATTGGCAAGTGCCACCTTTGCCACCCCCAGCCCTATGCAGGAGAGTGGCTTAGTTCAGATTCCGTCCAGCAGAGGGCAATGGTGCACAACCGGTTTATCACCACTGGTTCTGCATTCCTGCTGAAGGCCCAAAGGAAAGGGGTGTCTTGCACCTGCTGGCTCATCACACTAGGTACTGTTTGCTGGAGGGAGAGGATCTAGCCAACGAAGGGCACTGGCTCACCCTCTCCATGGAGCAGCCCTGGCCATTCTGCGAGCCAGGGCAGAAAACGTTTTTGAAGAAGAAAGAAAGAAAAGAAAAAAGCACCGAAGTGGCACAGCACCCCTCGGAAGCTGGTGCCCAGGGCAGCTGCCCACCTTCCCCTCCAGCTGGCCCTGGTGTCGGTTCAACTGAGGGCTTCCTAATGCCTAGAGAACAGGAAAAGGGAGTCTTTCCAGATGTCAGATGGGACTAGGCTGGTGGTGAATGAGCAAGGGCAGCAGGCAACAGCCGAGAGGCAGGCGGGGAAGCAGCCAGTGGCTGGTAAGGATCAGCGATAGCAGCACCAGCACACAGGACGTGTGCGACAGCAGCACTGGGCAGAGGAGCTCCAAGGAGACTGTGGACAGAATGGGCTCTGGACAGCTGGGCCTGGAGGCCAGGACTTGATTGCCTCGGGGAGAGTGATATAGAGCGGAGGGAGTAGCCCGGGTATGAAGCCTGGGGAATCCTACAGGGAGCTGTGACCTTTATACCCCCTACTGGCGCCCCCCAAGGGGTTGCATTAGGAAGTGTTGGGTAGATCTGTTGTACAAGGGTTGAAGTCCTTGTGTCTAGGGTATTTGCATCTGTTATTTCTTGCAGCCCTATTGAAACATTCGGTGTATTGAAATGTGTGAGTGTCACTAGGGACCCATCAGTGGTCTAGGAAGCCTTGTGCATGGTGTGCCTGTGACACTTGTGGTACACCAAGCATGGTGACAGACACCTAGCGGGGACAGGGGCATCACAACCCACACAGTAGGGGACACCTTGCAGAGGGGTCCACTACAGGGTGTTCCATAGCCCCGAGATTTCAAGGGAGAAATTAAGTGAAGAGAATGAATCCCGTGACTTAAACCTTCTTGCCGCGCTGTTATTTTCTTGTGTCCCTTGGCAGCTGCAATGCTTTTGGTGCTTCTTGCCTATGAGTACTTCTTAGCTCAATACAAAACTGAGATGCAAGTTCATGAGATGGTGCATAATTTATAGGAAGACTTGACCTTTCCCCTGCTGGTTCCATTTCCTTTTTGTAGAAGCAGAATATTTCCCCTTCACTGCAGGTGTTAAAATAAAAGCCCCTGTTTAACTCTCTCTTAAACACTCGCACCCTTGTATAATGCCTTACACCTTCTCTGATCAAAGCCCCCTACTTTACCTTGATGGTTTGAATCCAGGCTAGTAAATGTATTAACCCTGACTGAAACCACAGAGGGCAGGCTCCCCCAGCAGATGCTGACTGCACTGACGTGCTTTTAATAGTCTCCAAAAAGAAGACAGTAAAGAGAGGTTTGTGGGAGAGCTTTCAATCTCTGCATGCTACTGTCATTCATCCAGCAGGGTAGGAGTTCCCCGTAAACCTTGTATTGCTCCAGTTCTTTATTTTCCATTGGCACATATATACTGCTGATATTTAGAGCATGCTTTAAATGGGAGCAAAGAATGATAGCGCAGGCAGTGTTATGATTAACAGCTCTTTTCTTTTAAATCAGAGACGGGATATTACAACTTGGGCAAAGCCCAAGGGAAACATTAATTTATCTCGAGGGTGACTTTACTCTACTGAGGGTTTCTTGTTGACTTTCGTGTTTAAAGCATCTATACAAAACCACAATGATACAGGCAGTACAGCATTAACCGAAAATTAAAACTATATTTGGATAAAATACGTTTAGTTAATAACACAAAGGTCAAAGAGGGTTTATGAGAGGTTGGCTAATAATACTGCCAACACATGTCCACTTTAATATTTTTAATGATTTCATTCTGGCCAGGCTCACGCCCTTTGGGATTTGCTTTCTGCAGATACTCACATGGTTGAGTTTTACTAGCACAAATGTGTGTGGAAAGCACATTTCAAAATCATTTGTGCAAAGATTGGTAGAAATTACATTTTACATTCACACACACAAGTATCTGTGCTAGAACAGAGGGAGGATGGTTCAGTGGTTAGGGCATGCTGCTAGCCTTGGACTCAGGAAACCTCAGTTCAATTTCCTTTGCTGCCACAGATGTCCTGTGTGACCTTGGGCAAGTCACTTAGCTTTCAAGTTTATTTCAATGGGCGTTATACTGAAATCACAGAATACTCATAAAAGGGAGAGTTAAATAATACCAACTAGGAAGAGAGTTCATCTGGCAATTGTTATGCAAACTTTCCTTACACAGCTCTGCTGATACACTTCAGTCCTGCCCCGCTCACCCCCTGCTCTCCTGAGAAGAGATCTGTTGATCAATTCATGGTGAGTGGTTTTGTGACGTGTAGGAACTAGGACTGGACTCAGCTAATGCATTTTCACCTGTAGGGTAGACTAAAACTGGAACTTATGTCTCCAGGTGGAAAATGCTTGTGCACCATCCTGCTGGCCAGACCCGATTTAACCATCCATTTTCCATTTCAGGAACTTTATTTGCATGGGAAAGCAACAGGTGCTGTCAGCACTAATCCACCAGGTCTGGGTGCCCATAGCAGGGCTATGCTGTCTCTCCTGTATGGCCCATGGGTGACTCAGGCTACTGAGTGCTAGGACACTCTGTATCTTCTGCCTACGTATGTGCACTTTCTCTCCCGGCTCCTCATGCTCCCTGATGCACCTACCCTCCCTCTCTTGTATTTCTTTGCACAGGGGTGACTTTAGAGTTCTGCAGTCCCCTCACAAATACTCCCACCCAGCCACCCCTAATTCCTTGTCCGCCTCCCTCTCTCTGGCCATTGGGGTGGGGCAGAGACTGAGCTCCCTATCTGCCCTGCTCTGCCCTTGCTTGAAAAGTGGCAGGTCAGCTTCACCTCCTCTAGCTTCCCACACCAGAGCCTCTGGCGCTTCACAAACTGGTGGTGGATGAGGGGTGCCAAAGGGGGTCTCAGGCAGGGAGAAGGCAGATGGGGGCGGGGAGAAGGTGGTCCTGGGGAGGAAGATGGCTGGGTCCTTCCTCATGTCAGGTTGCACAAAGTCCTGCAATGCCAGCTCCAGCCCTGCTTTTGCCAATCAGATGGTATATGAGCACATGGGGGTATAAATCAGGGGACGGGGAGGCTAGTGATGGGCTGCGCATGGCTGGCCCCCCCCCCGCCCCAGCTCTGCACCAGCAATGCTAGCAAAGGGAACTCAGCGCAGGGCATGTTAACCAGAGCCCTGCAGCGCCCCACCTGCACCAGTGCACCGCAGTGCTGGAGGCACTCGTGCCCCAAAGCCCCCTGCATGCACCCCCTTGCGTGCACCCTGATACTCCCAAATACCGACCCTCCTGGATACCCCATGGAACCCACCCCTCCGCATTCACCTGATCGATCCCCCAGGCCCATCTATTGCCAGTGCCCTGCAGGCACCCGGGTGCCCCCTGCATGCACCCCGATACCCCCAGGGGCCCCGCCCCGGCCGATCCGCGGCGGGGTCCGTGTCCCTTTAAGAGCGGGGCTGGGCTGAGCCGAGCCGGCGGGGGGTGGCTCCGCTCCCCGCTGCAGGCTGATGCCGGAGCCTGGGCTGAGAGTCCCGCTCGTCTCCTGCACCAGCTCCGGGCGGGGCTTTGCTGCGGCTCCCCCCGGGCCGGGCCGGGCCGGGCCGCCCGCTGCACTTGCACGGTAGGGGCGGGTTGCAT